ATTTTTTCTCGGTTTTTGAAAACCGAAGTATAAAAGTAAATCTCTTTTCTGCTGGAAAAGCTATTTAATAAGTGATCTTGACGGGAACTTGAATTTGTGGCCTCGTTAGATTATAAGTGGGACTCGAAGATGTTATAAATAGCGTGGAATGGACAGGAAGATTGAAGAGAACGTAAATTAATCAAAATAGAAAAATCCAAAGTCATTTAAATATGTTATTTGTAACAGAAAAACAGGAAGGAATAATAAACTCTATATAAGGGAATAATAAGCCTATCACTACAATGAGGTCCCAACTGATACATCTTTATATCTCTACTTGACTTGCGTAAATACATACATATTTCATGGACTTTGTACAAAGGAGGCTTTTCGAGGGCCTACTCTGGGACCTTGAGTCGCCGTAACTTTGGACGACTTTGGGCGATTTAAGGCGACTTAAGGCGACTTTAACAAAGTTGGCAGAAAAAACATTGCGACTTTAGGCGACTTAAGGCGATTTTTAACAACTTAGAGCGACTTTATATGACTGAAGTAACAAAATCAAAGCTAGCAACAATCTCTCCATAGACCTTACAAATATTTACAGAATCCCTTGCAATAAACACCACGATTAGAGCGGGGTGAATGCGGTGAATCAGGAAGGGTAGGACCCTCATAACATTACGTAACCAATAGCGACTTAAGCCGACTTCAGGCGAATTAAAACGACTAAGGCGGCTTTAGGCGGCTTTAGGCGACTTAAGGCGACTTTGGATCCCAGAGTAGGCCTTTTCGAAGAGTCTTCGTGTCGCATTATATGAAACTCGTGATAAAGTCGAGGAATGGATCACTTTATGCTAATGACTTTTCATCTTGTTTTAATAAGACTTTGCATAGTCTCAAAAATCAAAATACTGTTATTGACATTCTAGAGAGCCCCTAGGGGTATGAAATAGAGTGTCTTATCATGTGTGGACTGTTTATCCGCGGGGTATAATTTCGAGTTCAGCCGGTTGTCGGTAGGCTTCACTTATAAAGAGTTCCTAACAAATTGACGGAGAGCTGTGTCGAGTCAGTTCAACAAGCAACAAAAAACCCATATCTATCAGGTATATACGAGGTGTTCATGAAATTAATTTTGTTTTTCTGTATAATTGGGGCCAACATCACACGAAAGATAAAATTTCAAATGAAAACACAAACAGGCATATTGTACTTATGTAATGCGAATGAAGCCTTCCCTGACATATGGTTTTGACATTAGGCCTGTGTAGATGATTTGTTTCTGTGTTTGGTCAGTTTGTCCAAAAGCTGTCATCAAGTTTTTCCTCTGGAGCTGCAGAAGTTGGTGTTTAATTTATATATCCTCTTCAAATGTAATCAAGGAAGTCATATTTTTTAAACCTAGAAAATAGCGAGTTGTAGAAACCACGTTTTTGAAATACGTTCAACACCAGATGTTGAGAATTCTGTTCCTTGGTAATCTCAGCTAACTTGCCAGAAAGCACCTCTCTCGTGTTCAGCAGGTACGGCTGTAACACCAAAAAATAGCCCTCCTTTGCTTAATTGTCAGTTTACATGAATTCGTTTGCATGCTCTCTGTATTCAACTTTTTACAGTTTAGTGGATGTGAGGAAACTGAAATGCAAAAAATGGCTCATCGTAACACTTCATTCTTCATTGTACTGTTTCTGCTGTCTCAAGTGTTGCATAACATTGCCAGCCAAAAGTTTGAGCCCGACAGCGACCATTACTCCATTTACCAAATGATGCTCAAGGGTCACGCGTTTAAAACCTTCAAGTTTCAACCCGGTACGCTGGAATGCAGGGAAGCTTGCCTCGCTGACCTCAGATGTCAAAGGTATAACGTGGTCATCTTTCTTGCAATATGCGAGTTAAATAATCGGACCAGAGAGGCCAGACCTGAGAGCTTTGTCGAAGACGACGACAGATATTACATGGCGAAAGGATGAAGACGAGGTAACTAAACTTTCATAGACTATTGCAGCTGGAAAAAACTATTTCCTCATTGAAACTTCCACTCCTGAAAGAGAATCATGGATCTTACGTTGATTTTTATAGATATATGTATATGTAATGTTTTTCATGGCAAAAGGTTTTTCTTTAATTCCAGTCCCTCTCGGTTCCATTCCTGAGCTGCCGGCTGATTCGTGTAAAGAGATTAAGGCGAGTGAAGGAGGACACGCTGTCAGCAGGTAAACTGGTTGGATTCCACCGGATCTGGGAACTCTATTCTAGCTCACTGTGACATGAAAACGGAAGGTTGGGAAGAAAGATATTTCCTGATTACTCTGTTTATATGTAATTTAAAGTGAATTTTCTATTTTTTTCCAATCTAGTTGAAGATCATTGCATTAAACACCGATGCCAAAACGATGCGAAGTGCGTAAACGGTCACGTGAACTACACATGTGAGTGCAACTCATCTGGGTGGACTGGAAACTATTGTGAGCAAGGTAAGAGTCATTGTTAAATCCTCTTTTTACTCATTGTAAACACTAACAATACCCTCGGATCTTACAAGAGCACGTGTTAAGATGGATTTCTAGGAAATGGACTTCAAACAAACTGCACAGGTAACTAGGTGCAACATGTCAAATTCGTATTTCGGCTTAATTTGAGGAAACACTCATTATCTTCAAAGATAACAGGACTAATTTCAATGGTATACTTCTTCTTAGATCAACAGGACACACGTATCTTCAAGAATGTTTTTAATAACACAATACACCCTTTAAGAGCTATAATGCCAAAAAAGAAATCAACCAAGTACAATCTGAGGAAAGAGACAAGTCACCATCCAAAAGTAAACACTGATAGGTTCAAAAACACGTTTGTCAATCGCTTAATTTTTAAACATAATCTAGTCTTATAATTTTTATCTCGATTTTCTCTGTAATTTATATATATACCTTCTTTTAATGTTGTAACATAGGATATGTGATTATTTATCTTATGACTTAATAAAGATTCATTCATTCATTCATTCATTCATTCATTCTATTCCTAGACGTAAATGAGTGTGCCGACGAAAAACCCGTCTGTGATGGAAATGCTGAATGTAACAACATCCTGGGATCTTTTAACTACACGTGCAAAGATGGCTTTTCAGGGAATGGATCACACTGCACTGATAGATAATTCCACTTGATGAGGGTCATCTATTCCTAATGACTACCCTTGGGTCTAGTGAGACTGGGATTCCATTTTAACCGCGTTGTCATGCGTTTGGTAGAAGTGGCATGCGGGAGTAGAAGCCTCACCCCTTGTTTCGCACTTGTGCCTCATAGTGCGGTGGGTCTCACTCTGACGCATGCCACTCCGGCGCCCCGATTTTTCCGGAGTTGCACGTCCATTCCCGATGTCCCATGGGTCTAGTATACGTGGGATTTCATTTTGGCCACGTTGTCATGCGCTTCGTAGAAGTGGCAGCCTTGAGTACAAGCCTCATCCCGTGTTTGCACTTGTGCCTCATAGTGTGGTGGGTCTCACTCTCACGCATGCCACTCCGGCGCCCCTGATTTCCTGGAGTTGCGCGTCTAATTCCGAGGTCCCTTGGGTCGAATGAATCTGGGATTTTATTTTGGCCATGCGTGAGTACAAGCCTCACACCATGTTTTGCACTTATGCTTTAGAGTGCGGTGGGACTAACTGTCACGCATGCCACTCCGGCGCCCTTGATTTCACGGAGATGCGCGTTTATTCCAGAGGTCCCATGGGACTACTAAACCTGGGATCTCATTTTGGCCGCGTTGAGATGTGTTTGGTAGAAGTGGCATGCGTGAATACAAGCCTCACCCCTTGTTTCGCACTTGTGACTGAGAGTGCGGTGCAACTCACTCTCACGCATGCCGCTCCAGCGCCTCTAATTTCCCTCCGTTGTGCGTCTAATCCCGAAGTCCTTTGGGTCTAGTGAACCTGGGATTCCATTTTGGCCGCGTTGTCATGCGTTTCGTAGAAGTGGAAAGCGTGAGTACAGCCTCCACCATTGGTTTGCACTTATGCCTCAGAGATCGGTGCAAGCTTGCGGCTTGTACTCACGCCTGCCACTTCCACCAAACGCAGGGGAACGCCACCAAAGTGGAATCCCAGCTTCACTAGACCCATGGGAGTCCCATGGGAGTTTGGGAATAGACGCGCGACTCCGAGAAAACAGGAGCGCCGGAGTGGCAGGCATGAGAGTGAAAGCCACCGCACTCACTAAGACGCACTAGTGACAAACAGGGCTTGCGGCTTGTACCCACGCCTGCCACTTCCACCAAGCGCACAGGAACGCCGCCGAAGTGAAAATCCCAGCTTCACTAGACGCATGGGAGTCCCATGGGAGTTCGGGAATAGACGCGCAACTCCGAGAAATAAGGAGCGCCGGAGTGGCAGGCGTGAGAGTGAGAGCCACCGCACTCACTAAGACGCACCAGTGACAAACAGGGCTTGCGGCTTGTACTCACGCCTGCCAATTCCACCAAACGCAGGGGAACGCCGCCAAAGTGGAATCCCAGCTTCACTATACCCATGGGAGTCCCATGGGAGTTTGGGAATAGACGCGCAACTCCGGCAAATCAGGAGCGACGGAGTGGCATGCGTGAGAGTGGGGCACATGCGCGAAACAAGGGCTTGCGGCTTGTACTCACGCCTGCCACTTCCACCAAACGCATAACAACGCGACCAAAATAGAATCCCAGCTTCACAGGACCCATGGGAGTTCGGGCATAGACGTGCAACTCCGAGAAATCAGGAGCGCTGGAGTGGCAGGCGTGAGAGTGACAGCAACCGCACTCACTAAGACGCACCAGTGACAAACAGGGCTTGGGGCTTGTACTCACGCCTGCCACTTTCACCAAACTCACGGAAACGCCGCCAAAGTGGAATCCCAGCTTCACTAGACGCATGGGAGTCCCATGGGATTTCGGGAATAGACGCGCAACTCCGAGAGATCAGGAGCGCCGGAGTGGAATGCGTGAGAGTGAGGCACATGCACGAAACAAGGGCTTGCGGCTTGTACTCACGCCTGCCACTTCCACCAAACGCATAAGAACGCGGCCAAAATGGAATCCCAGCTTCACTGGACCCATGGGAGTTTGGGCATAGACGCGCAACTCCAGGAAATCAGGGGTGCCGGAATGGCATGCGTGAGAGTGAGCCACATGCGCGAAACTAGGGCTTGCGGATTGTACTCAAGCCCTGCCACTTCCACCAAACGCAGAGGAACGCCGCCAAAGTGGAATCCCAGCTTCACTAGACTCATGGGGGTCCCATGAGAGCTCGGGAATAGACGAGTAACTCCGAGAAATAAGGAGCGCCGGAGTGGCAGGCGTGAGAGTGAGAGCCACCGCACTCACTAAGACGCACCAGTGACAAACAGGGCTTGCAGCTAATACTCACGCCTGCCACTTCCACCAAACGCAGGGGAACGCCGCCAAAGTGGAATCCTAACTTCACTAGACCCATGGGAGTCCTATGGGAGTTCGGGAATAGACGCGCAACTCCGAAAAATTAGGAGCGCCGGAATGGCATGCGTGAGAGTGAGGCACATACGCGAAACAAGGGCTTGCGGCTTGTACTCACGCCTGCCACTTCCACCAAACGCAGGGGAACGCCGCCAAAGTGGAATCCCATCTTCACTAGACCCATGGGAGTCCCATGAGAGTTCGGAAATAGACGCGCAACTCAGAGAAATTAGGAGCGCCGGAGTGGCAGGCGTGAGAGTGAGAGCCACCGCACTCACTAAGATGCACCAGTGGCAAACAGGGGTTGAGGCTTGTACGCACGCATGCCACTTCCACGAAACGCATGAGAACGCGGCTAAAATGGAATCGCAGCTTCACTAGACCGAAGGGAGTTCGGGAGTAGACGCGCAACTCCGGGAAATCAGCAGCGCCAGAATGGCATGCCTGAGAGTGAGGCACATGCGCGAAACAAGGGGTAAGGCTTGTACTCACGCATGCCACTTCCACGAAACGCATGAGAACGCGGCCAAAATGAAATTCCAGGTTCACTAGACCCATGGAAGTTCGATAATAGACGCGTAACTCCGAGAAATCAGGAGCGCTAGAGTGGAATGCGTGAAAGTGAGAGCCACCGCACTCACTAAGACGCACTAGTGGCAAACAGGGGTCGAGGCTGGTACTCATGCATGCCACTTTCACGAAATGCATGAGAACGCGGCCAAAATGGAATCCAAGCTTCACTAGACCCGAGGGAGTTTGGGAATAGACGCGCAACTCCGGGAAATCAGGGGCGCCGGAATGGCATGCTTATGAGTGAGACACATGCGCGAAAGAAGGGGTGAGGCTTAAACTCACGCATGCCACTTCTACCAAACCCATACCAACGCAGCCAAAATGGCATGACAGGTTCACTAGACCCAAAGAATCTCGGGAGTAGACGCGCAACTCTGGGAAAGGGAGGGCGCCGGAGTGGCATGCGTGAGAGTGAGACCCACCGCACTATGAGGCACAAGTGCAAAACAATGGCTGAGGTTTCTACTCACGCAGGTCACTTCTATAAAACGCATGACAACGCGGCCAAAATAGAATCCGAGTTTTACTGTACCCAAGGCATCTCGGGATTGGATGCGCAACGCCGGGTATTCAGGGGCGCCGGAGGGGCATGCGTGAGAGTGAGACCCACTGCATTATGAGGCACAAGTGCGAAACAAGGGGTAAGCCTTGTATACACGCATGACACTTCTACCAAACGCGTGACAACGCGGCCAAAATGGAAAACAAGGTTCATTAGACCCACGGGACCTCGTGAATAGACCTGCAACTCCGGGAAATCAGGGGCGCAGGAGTGCCATGCGTAAGAGTAAGTCCCAGCGCACTCTCAGGCACAAGTGGTGAGGCTTGTACTCACGCATGCCACTTCTATTGAACGCATGACAACGCGGCCAAAATGGAATTCCAAGTTTACTAGACCCAAGGGACCTCGGGATTAGAAGCGCAAGTCAGAAAAATAAGGGGCGTCGGAATGGCACGTGTGAGAGCACATATACCTCACTCTCACGCATGCCATTCCGGCGCTCCTGATTTTTCGGAGTTGCGCGTCTATTCCCGAGCTCCCATGGGACTCCCATGGGTCTAGTGAAGCTGGGATTCCACTTTGGCGGCGTTCCCCTGCGTTTGGTGAGAGTGGCAGGCGTGAGTAGAAGCCGCAAGCCTTGTTTGTCACTGGTGCGTCTTAGGGAGTGCGGTGGCTCTCTCCCTCTCGCCTGCCACTCCGGCGCTCCTAATTTCTCTGAGTTGCGCGTCTATTCCCGAACTCCAATGGGACTCCCATGGGTCTAGTGAAGCTGGGATTCCACTTTGGCGGCGTTCCCTTACGTTTGGTGGAAGTGGCAGGCGTGAGTACAAGCCGCAAGCCCTTGTTTCGCACATGTGCCTCATTCTCACGCATGCCATTCCGGCGCCCCTGATTTCTCGGAGTTGCGCGCTATTCCCGCACTCCCATGGGACTCCCATGGGTCTAGTAAAGCTGAGATTCCACTTTAGTGGCGTTCCCCTGCGTTTGGTGGAATTGGCAGGCGTGAGTACAAGCCGCAAAACCTTCTTTTGCACATGTGCCTCACTCTCACGCCTGCCACTCCAGCGCTCCTGATTTGTCGGAGTTGCGCGTCTATTCCCGAACTCCCTTGGGTCCAGTGTAGCTGGGATTCCATTTTGGCGGCGTTCCCCTGCGTTTGGTGGAAGTGGCAGGCGTGAGTACAAGCCGCAAGCCCTTGTTTCGCGCATGTGCCTTACTCTCACGCCTGCCATTGCGGCGCTCCTGATTTCTCGGAGTTGCGCGTCTATTCCCAAACTCCCATGGGACTCCCATGGGACTCCCATGGGTCTAGTGAAACTAAGATTCCACTTTGGTGGCGTTCCCCTGCGTTTGGTAGAAGTACCAGGTGTGAGTACAAGCCGCAAGCCCTTGTTTCGCGCATGTGCCTCACTCTCACGCCTGCCACTCCGGCGCTCCTGATTTCTCGGAGTTGCGCGTCTATTCCCAAAACTCCCATGGGACTCCCATGGGTCTAGTAAAGCTGGGATTCCACTTCGGCGGCGTTCCCCTGCGTTTGGTGGAAGTGGCAAGCGTGAGTACAAGCCACAAGCCCTTGTTTGGCGCATGTGGCTCCTTCTAACGCATGCCACTCCGGCGCC